GCCCCTTTGAAACGCAGCAAAGGTGCTCAGATGCCTGTGGGGGTGGAAGAGCCTAAACGTGCCCCCAAATCACACAGGGTTTGCAAAGGTGCGTGAGGACCAGATGCTTTTCCCCCTTTGGCACCACTTCCCTCTCCTTGGCTCAGCCGCTGCTCAATCCGTGACCCGTCGGTGGCCGGTGACACTTTGGATTAAGAGCTGCGGCCGTGGCGCGGGGCCTGATTCGACGCGACGGTTGCAGCGTGTCACCTAATGAGCGCCCGGCTCGCGGGGGAGCGCGACGTGACAGGGACCCGGCGCCGCCACCGCCTCCGTGCGCGGCCAACGCGGCCTCGCGGGCGCTGGGTGTTCGCCCAAGCGCCCCGGGTCCGCCCGGGTGATCTGCGCCTTGGAAATCAGGAGGAGAAGCTGGGTTTGTACAAAGGAGTGCAGGACCGTGTGTGCGAGGAGAGGATAGACTTCTTCTAAGGACAAAATGCTGAATATCGGTTAAATTTCCAGGCAAGACACGTTCTCCAAAGGGAGCCGTGATTCCAATTTCTTCCCTTTACCTGCAGGATCTGAGGGTTTTTCCATTCTTTTCCGGAGATCGGAGCTGGAGGAAAGGAAATGGCTCCGGGGTGGCCGGGTCGGCTGCTGGAGCTGGTTTTTGAGTACACGGGTTGTCCTAGTGCTTGGCCCCGCTGCTTACGGGCTCTCTGCTTCGCTCAGATGTCACTGACTTGCACAATGGGGGGGACCTAGAAGCCTGCTCTCTACTTCTGGACTTTACAGGGGATTTGATACAGGAATCTGGGGTCTTATCCCATCCTTTTAATTCTGGATTTGTTTGAGGGGTGTTTGGAGGGTTTCCTCCTCTGTAAAACCTCCTTCCCCGCTGGCGCACCCAGTGGTCAGCACCGTGTGACACCCGTGGCCGGACGCCGGCCTCGTCCCCACGCGTCACTCGCTGCAAGGGGGAGGCCATCTGGAAACGGGACATCGGCCTTGAATTAGCGGGGCTGGAATGCTTGTTCCCTCGTAAACTCCCGTGCGGTCGGGAGTCATTAACCCTCCCTGGGCTCGGGTTTTGCAGCTGCAAGGCGAGAAGCGGCCGCGTCCCCGGCGATGGTGCTAAACGCATTAAATCAGGCACGCCGCGTGCTGCGGAGGTCACAGCAGCCCTTGGAAAGAGGGGGGCAATGAGGAAAGCAGCCGCATTC